GAAGCTTTCTAATGCGTGATATAGGGCGTAGGTTGTACGGTAGCCAACTAGCAGAGCAAGGCCGCACAGGTACTGCTCTCTGTTGCTGGGCGTAGCTTGTAGAATTGCTTCGCGCCGTCGTCGCAGTTTCTGTAGAGCGTGTTCTCTCCCAACAAGGCTTTTCTGAACTTTTCTTGTAATCTTTGGAATAAATGCCTCAGTCAAACGGTTCGGTTACCTCAATCACGCTGACTCGAGATAGAATGTTTCTGCACTTAATTCATATGACTCTCTTCATAGATGGAGTTCATAGAGTTATAAGGGCAACTGTTCTATGGCTCGATCTGTGACACCCAAGCAACAGTGCAAAAGAAATTGCCTATAATCTTCTCGAAATTCGATACTCCCTGACTTACCATTTTCAGCCCTATGGCAGTTCTCTCCAATCTCCACCCATTAACATATGGCTGTGGAGAGGCACCATGTATAAAGTGCAAAAGTGAGCAACATGATTCCTTCACAGATTTTTTGGCTGCTTCATCAATGCAATGTACAAGAACCCACTCCGATGCGATTTCATTTTCTCAAGCGTTTAAATGCTGAAAATAAAGGCGAGTCAAATGAAGTACGCGCAGAAATGTTCTACCTTAAGAGGGTGCGATGAACGTGATTCAATGATTCTGAAAAAGGCACTCGCCATGATATGGAGAGGGCTATAGAGGCTCTATCAGGTAAAAAATAAGGCTGCGCAGAAATAACGACGATGGCGGTTTTTGGCACAGCGTGTTGTCATCTAGGCTTGAAAAGGGGACACACTACCCCGGCGCCATGAAGGCATCCGTTGTATTGCGGACAACTGCGCTTTTCAACTGGAGCTATGTATAAGATATTTTCGAAGGCTCATGACTTTTTTAGGGAACTCCTCGAGCAGTTTCAACTTTTATATTCGGGATTAGCCTATCAAAGTACCTGAGCCTTCATTCGAAGACTTATGGGAATTGTAAACACCTCCTTACTTAAAAAAAAGCAGTTCCGCCTAGATCTTTATTCCTCTCATCGTGAGGGTTTCCTCCTCTTACTAGTGGTGATGAAAAGAAAAAGGTGAATCGACTTAATTAAAAGGGTAGCAGTAGAATTGTACAGAACTAACCATACACTAGACAGGTGTATATCTATTGATATGATCACCTGAGTTGATACAAAGTGGGGCCGTTGCATTATCGTTCGATGTGTATCTTTGGTGTCAGACCACTCGTGAATAATGCACCACTCATAAATAGTATGTAATCATCAGGAACTACTTTTATGGGTGGGTTGAGGTGCGCACGGTCCGCTTCAGTTTGACAATAAAACAAAGCCAAATCAAGAATTGAAAACATAGACTGGCTAAACTATTTGGCACGGCAGCAAAGAATTTGTGTGATTTTGATTTCCAAGAGAACTGAGAAAACGAGAGCCTCCAAGTCATTCATATTCGATCGGTGTCTCACCCATAAAATGGAGTGATAAGGACTATAACCTCTTTTTTTCTTTTAAAGTTGGATTTCGATGAGAAAAATTCTTTTTAATGAGTCAGCCCCTTATCAACCTAAATTCAACTTCCCGAACTTGGCAGTGTTTCGTAATTCACAGAAAAATTTGGAGTAAAATAACCTTTTCACTATTTGGGGCAATTTCTGGTTGCCTTTTAAAAAAATAAAATCCTTGCCGACTGTGGTAGTCAACAGTGATTTTTGGGCTCCAGGAGTTCAAAGAGAAGCAATTGTGCCATACATTACAAATGACACAAGTAACAAAGAGTCATTATAATGCTTGAAACACCTACTATGTTTCGCTGCACGTTTAGAAAAATCTAGCAGATCGGAACAAGTCGAGTATGACGTCAGAAAACAAGGTAGTTAAGCTATAGCAGAATCTTCGACCTCTAGAATACATGCATTTCTATTACGTTAGCTCTTTGTGTTAAAATTTCAGAAAGTCTGTTGCGGGCTCTCAGCGCAGCATTTTATTCAGGCGCACGCTCCAACAAACATGCTTTTTGATTGCACCTCATTAACGTGTTTACCGGATGCTTAAAAGAAATTATTATCAGCGAGAAGTTTTTGAAAGGGTAGCAACAAGGCACAGACAGATCTCAAAGCCTCCGACTTCATCTGTTGGTGAAAATTTACAGGGCCCACTGTTGGAAACACTAGAGGATTTCTGGCACATGTTGTTTTGCGAACGAAGTACAGTAATCGTGCAGCTGTGCGACTTCGTAGAAGGTCGGTTCAGATATAGATTACTAATATAATAGGTTCCGACGCAATGGTTAACTTGTTACGGTCACGTTAGTGCGCAAACCTTCTCGTCTCTTTCATTTATTTATTTATTTTGCACACAAGGTGCTCAAACATGGTAGAGAAACAACAAACATGGTAGAGAAACAATACAGAGCTAGACAAAGCAGAAAATTCAGAAAATTCTATCGTCGCCAGTACAAAAACTAGGAGTCATATTTGCATATAAATAATACTGAAGTGGAAGGAAATAATGAGAGTATGCTCTCTTTGATGCCACCGATGGCTCGGACATCATTAGCGAGCGGGAAAAGTACTCAGCTGCTTACTCGCACCTATGACCACTACAGTTAGTTGTAGAAAGAGAGGCGGCAATCGACAAAACGATCGAGAGTGGAGTGGCGGTGATTGCAGAGCAGGCTGCCCAGAGAGAAGTTTCCTAGCCCATAACATCAAGCAGAAGTAGAGGTAGCAGTAGCAGAAGTAGCAGTATATGAGATTATGAAATGCGCTTTGACGAGTCACAAGAGTACAAGTCAAAATCGGAACCAAATGCTGCTGCATCAACTTGTAGAAATAACGAAGCCTGGGGTGAAAGCATGGTCTCAAGGGAAAGCACACCGAGATTAGATTCGTAGAGAGGATGTGAGCTTGAAGCAACGAGCTGGTCGCTCTGGAGTCACTGACCGATCACAAAGATGCGAGTCTTGTTCCCGTGAAATGTACTAGAAGAACTGCCACAATGTAATGGCAGGTAGTAATCATGAAGAAATAAGCGAGTAGGTAAAGTTATCGAAGATCATGTTCACTAATCATTTGCTGTTTTGTTTGGTTTTGTCAATAATCAATAAGCGTATTACACGCGTGGAATGAAATTTGAGAAATCACCCGCTACGCTGCCGCGACAGGTACATTTCATTCCAGAACTCAACTTTTTTCATTGAAGTTGAGGCTTTTCCTGACTTCGACACGCAGGCAACGACTCATGCCGATGAATATCTCTACTTGTAGCTGAAACATGAAGTAGTCTGCTATCGTGTTTCTCATTTCGCAGTAACTGATATCCATTTACTGAACTGGGACGCATTTTTCTTAAATGCTTTAGCAACATGACTGTATTAAGGAAAGCATGAAAAGTGCCGTCAATACTTCCCGAAATCAAAAGGGCAGTCAGAGAGTTACGGTCCGTATAAGGTCACATACAAAGACATCAAGCCGGAGCCTTTCGACTCGGTGAAACACAATGTGCTCGAGGTGGACTCAAAGTAAGCTCGGATTTCATCCGCGTAATACACAAATCCTTTGTTGATTCTAAGCGTGTAACGCTGAGCTGGTCAATTTATCGAACGCTCCCAATACGGACGATTTTTGTCATTAAGTGGTACCTACCTACTTGTGTTCTCCCAATTTAGCATTCAGTATACCGAATGGACCAAATTTACGTGGCTCAGACATTGCATCGCTGGAAACTTCAGGACAATAGAACGAATCAAAGGGCTTATCGCTCAAAGGGCTTAACGCTTATCTCTCATCAGAAAATGCGTTAAAATTGTAATCTGTTGGTATATGCTTCCACTCGTGCCCGTATACGAGAAGGGAANAAATCCTTTGTTGATTCTAAGCGTGTAACGCTGAGCTGGTCAATTTATCGAACGCTCCCAATACGGACGATTTTTGTCATTAAGTGGTACCTACCTACTTGTGTTCTCATAATTTAGCATTCAGTATACTGGATGGACCAAATTTACGTGGCTCAGACATTACATCGCTGGAAACTTCAGGACAATAGAATGAATCAAAGGGCTTATCGCTCAAAGGGCTTATCGCTTATCTCTCATCAGAAAATGCGTTAAAATTGTAATCTGTTGGTATATGCTTCCACTCGTGCCCGTATACGAGAAGGGAAAGCATCAAAGAGAAGAACATCGGATTAACACAACACATCAAGGATGCGTTGCGTTGATTACATGCTTCTTGTAGTACTTTTTCGAGGTTGTTAAACATTTTGTGTGATCCACCTACGCTTTCGTTTTTAAGCTTAACCCTACTAGGCATGGGAGTTTAGGGCTTCTTAGTAGCCACTAATCGAAAACTACCTCTTCCAGAGTAAAAGCCTTTTCGTTGACAGACAAGATTCTCCTGAGACGATTTCTTTAGATACCGCGTACTAGTTATTGTGTCCCATCTTTTTTCTACTCTTGAGCTGCTCCCTTAAAAAGTATCTTTTTGATCTTATGAAAATGTGCAGATAATCTTTCACTATCATCTACAGAATGCTTCGTGAGACATACGTTCCTTCGACCATTTTACATTTAAATTGACCTCCAGTGCTAAGAAAACATTTACCTTCTTTTTGTAACATTTCTCCTCCTCCAGCCTCTACCCTTCTAGTGTCCCAAAATTCCCCCTTTAAAGTGTCTGATGGTTGGACATACCAGCTTCATTGTCACAGCGAATCTTCTGTAGATGTTCCGTGCTAAAAGTAAATGTATATACAATGTGATGAAGAAGCAAGTTGACTCACGATGAACGACGCTTCCATTGCTTTCAAAACGGGGAAGAGGTTCATTATCAATAGGAAGGAAATATCTAATCTACCTCATGAAATGTCAGAAACTCAGAAAAAATAACCAGTTAGAGCATCGCCTTCATCATAATTCTGTTCCACCCTTTACAACAGCAATCTAGTAACATCAGGCCATTTACTTCCTTTCTTCATGCTGGGCATATGCACTTAATGCGATGGAAGTGCAATATATTTTTTCATTACCATTTTTCAGAGGTCGCTCGATGACTGTTGATCACTTCGCTTATTTGGTCTGGCCTGACCACACGGCACCGGTTAGCCCTATACCAATGGTTGGTTGCATGAAACTGTGTCGCCAGTTGGCTTCTAGCCAACCGATTACTGTCCACTGTTCCGCAGGCATTGGAAGGTCGGCTACTTTTGTAGGTGAGCACTCTCTTGATCTTGAAGATATCGTGCTATAATACAAGAATTGGAAGTCATATTTTGTAATAATGCCTCCTATATTTAACTCCTATGCATGCTGTACGTAAGAATGGGAAAAACCCGAAAAAAGGAATGGGTACATCAGCTAATGATATAGGCACCGCTTGCAAGCTGTATAGTGCAGGAGTAGAATCTGGATATTGGGCCGTAAAGGCACAACCGACAAACAGAAACGAATATCCGGTACCTTAGTGACCTTGCAATGAAATAAAATGCAGTGGATGCACAATTTCATTAGCAACATATTTTCTTTCAAGGTATAACCCCATTTGAATGTGCAAACCCTCAGTTCGTCGCCTATATGACGCATCAAAGAAGGATTCACGTTCGATGGGTGGAGGAACTAGAACGTCGCGTGCATCACGTCCACTCGTTCGACCACGCTAAACTTTCGTATCTGTCCACGGAAAGGGGAAGCAAGAGTGCATTTTTCAAAGAGGGCTGCTTCAACAAGTATCCAGCAAATCCTATAGACCACCACATGTGTTTGTGCCTCTCACGCATCCTAAAATTAGCTGTATGTGTCAAAATAGTTAATGGAAGCAATTAGGCTTCTAGCCTGACTGTTCACGTCTATCCCGCGTACAATGCAAGAGAGGCGAATCAGCTGAACCTGAGAGAGCGAGCACCTTCGCAAAGTATCTTTACAAGAAGAAAGCAAAGAGTGATTGATATGTCGTAGCCTCCGATATTGGTCAACCGTTAGTTAGACTGAGAATTCTATGGTGAGGAAGGGAACAAATAATGTCCTGGGGAAAGTAGAAATTAAGCAAGCGCGATTTTTTCACAGAAAGAAAGCTTGAAGAAAGTGTCTGTCTCAGTCTCATCGTGTCTACATCTCGCACGAGCAATTCGGAAACGGGGAAGTGACTGACTTCGCTTGTTGTACGCCATCCCGTGCTTGACAAAAAACTAAGGATCTCTCCATATCTTGTAAAACAGCTCAGCCAAATTCCATTTTCTATGACCACACTAACCTGGTTCCTGATACTTGCCAACTTAATCACTTTCTCGAATAGACCCAGTGCTGCTGTTAGGCGTAAAAATAAATGAATATGCAATGAACAGCTGATTCGTTGACTCTGTCGGCCGCCGAAAAAGCGACGCCGTTCAAGTTTCTATCAAACATATTTATATAGAACTTTTATAGCAATTGATTACGCCTGGCAGAGAATCCGTGAAAATGGCGATGTACAAATGGTTGATATCCTAAAAGAAATGCGGCAACAACGATTCCATGCGATCCAATCTCCTATTCAATATATATTTTTACACATGTGTCTGCTTGAAATGGCATCTGAAGTTAGTCGTTTCAAATCTCAAGAAGTGTAGCTAGAAGCGAAAGCAGTTCAACACGAGGAAGGTGTACCTAGCAGTAATAACTTCATATACATTCATTAGGTAGCAGAGCGGAAGTGTCGATGTAGACCACTGCAAAAATCCATGAACCCTGAGTAATCTCGTGTTATAGGGCTATTCTTGAACAAATGAATTGCTGAGATTGGAGGCGATGACGAAAGAAAGGTTCTTACGAGATTTAGGTTGTAAATGTAGAGTTGTATAGCTTCAGTGTCCACGTGCTGAACGGCCTTTCCATCACTCTAATGTTCACGCGTTATTCTTCACTGCTTCTGGGAATTAGTCTCGTTATTCTTTATTACGGGGCGGAGGTGCTGTAGTGGCAAGTGGTGCACTATCTCACACATGGTCAGGGGGGTCGAATCCCCGATCGATGTCCGCCTAGGCCGACCGAACCTTCCATCCCTCCGGGGTCGGTGAGTTGGTACCAGACTCGTCTGGGAGGATTAAAACACTGAATTGTACCTTGGCTGGGCACCGCAAGTCATTGTATAGGCCACATACGCACTCATTACGCCAATATGATTCTGAATGTGCGTGGGCGCATCCTTCAGACGGTATTGACTAACGCCAAAAACTTCATACTTTACTCTTATTCTCTATTACGATATTTTATACCATTGCAAAGCTGACATAATGCCATACCAAATCGTAACATAGAATAACAATACAGGTATCCGCTTTGTTAGCAAATGATTTTGCAGTTTTCTTCAAACGCCTTTTTTGTTTATCTTTTTTACACGGTTTTTGCTACGCCTGTCCGATGGGTTTTTATGAATGTTTGGTCTATTTAACCCTGCACTAAAACTTCTTGTTCGACCCAATATTTTTATGTGGAAGATTTAAGTTGGTTCTCTCCCTTTATATATATACATTCAAAGTGTCGTTGATGTGCTTCTTCAACTGTCGAGAAAACTCTCTCGACGTACACCCTATTCTCTATCAACCCCAGGTCACAAAGTCAGGAACCGAAAAGAGGTGCGAAAGTAAACGAAGGGGACTGTCTCCAAGACATGAGGTTGAGAGAAAAGATAGAGTAAGAAAATATGTTAATTCAGGGTTGATGCAAAAATTGCAGCATTGATGAAAACAAATGCATCAAGAAAAAACAAGTGAATTGAGCTACGGTAATCAATTTGAAAAGCAAAATTTTTTTGGGGGAAAGTGCCTGATGTAGGCGTATGCGTGTGAATATGAAGTTGAAAACGAGCTAAATTGCCTCAATACAAAGTTAAAGAGTGTTCTGATATCATAAGGGCACATCAACGATAAATTATCAGGTAAACTCAAATGCAACTCGAAAAAAACATTAATACAAGGTCCACAAAAACGCGCCAGGCCTCTGATTGTTCCATGAATGTAAAACCCAACTCTAGCAGTGGAAGTTGTGACCTAGTAGATCACCTGATTCGTTCACAACAATAGTGCTCCACCTCCGAACTGAACCACGTATGCCTCTCGGTGCCATCTTAACAAACCTTTTTTCTACTAGTCCTTTTTGGAAATTCTCTTCGGCACTTGGGGTTAGGACAGGTTTCCAGATAGAAACATTTTATTCACGACTTCTACCTTTGAAGGTTTCTCTTCAGCCTAATCGACTGCACTGTTTATTGCCCCATAACTTATGTTTAGATGAATTATAGTGTCGAGAGGCTAACCCTTCTGTTTCGTTTTGAATGTGAACATAGTACATAACGAGCAATGCTAACTGTAATATATCAACGACTCCAACTTAAATAATCCTTAGGTCGTTCCTGAATGCTCACCCATTTCGAATGTTTCCACTTTTTCATTATGGTCTGATTACAGGAAAATTTGCTATCCCGTAAAAAATATGGGCCATATTTGGAAGCCTACGTCACTATGCTCAAGAAATATAACAAAAAGGTACAAGCAGCTGAAGCGAGGGCTGCAGCAAAAGAGGGTGCCTGAAACTTGGCTCATTAAAGAAGAATTCTCCGAAAAACTGATCAAATCATCCTCTTTCATCAATGATACAAACTCATTTCAAGTCTTGATAAATTTCTAGTTGTATTTCATCCGTAAAAGAAGATCTATGAAACGTGTGAAATGCTGCAGAATAAACCTTATTGCTTTGTTCCTGAGACTCGCGNGAAGTTCGTGAGTAGATTTCTATTAGCAATTTTGCTTTGTCACATTGCGAATCTGATGTTTCAAAGGTCCCGACAGTCTAGTAGCAGGGAAAAGTGGTTTTCTCACGTCTTCTGGAACAGAATTGTGCTTGCAAAATGTCTATATAGGTTTCACAGAGAGTGTAGTTTATGTTGGAATCTGACCCATTTGAAAATTTCGAGTAGCTTTGACTACTTCTGTCCGATTCTCTCAACCCTCTCCAGTATGATAGTCAACCGAGTTTCCTCATTGTCGTTGTACATGTACTACAGTGCAGCTCGGGCTGCTGTAGCAGCCAAAGCTTCAAATTCAGCTTGGAGTAAAATCCAACCATACCATTGTCCTATTTTCCACACTCATTTCTACTGCTCTACGTTTGGGGTGGTACCTGATGATCGGCTACTGTACGCCTATGTTGGCAGAGATTTTTTCCAGAGCATTTCCCGTCGAGAGTGTGTTTCACAAGGCTCTTTATGTATTGAGAATAATCAGAATGAATGTGGAAAGACTAGTCCTTCACCCGCTCGTGCGAGTTAGCAAGAATGTAACTCAGCGGATCGTCTGACAATGATGGAATACACGTGTTCTCCTTAAGGCACGGAGCAGATAGAAACAAATAAGCAGCTCCACAAAGACTATTACTCAAGAACATACGACTAACAAGGGAAGGACACTGAGTTGCGGTGGCCATTCAAGATGAGATGTTCGAAAACATTTCTTCCCTGTGTTATAGGGTTTTCTCAAGCATGTATCGAGGTCGAGTTGCAAACCCAGGTGCTACAAAAAGGCGCAACAGGTAAAGGAACGGACTCTCAGACGTGGCACGCGGGACTGCATTCCGTTTGCGTGAACTTGTTAAACTTTTTTAAAATGTTTGTTGAAGTCTTGCAAAACAGTTTTACATCTCCCGTTGACCAACCGCAGCTCTCCTGAGCCATTATTATTCCTGAAAGAAGCTCATTTCTGACCTTTTCTGACCTGAATAGCTTCATACTTTCGCATTTCCGTGTCCATACTGGCGTTTGAACCCGAAATCGCGGCTCGCTAGACACTGGAAGCACTTTGGGTCAGGCCAGGGACCCTAAAATAAACAGGAGTGTGTGACTATATCCCGCGAAATTGCACCCTTCCTTGACCTATGTAACTGTTGATCTACGACGAGACTAAACCTGTCATTTTGGCAAACTCGAGACCTTTGAACGTTGTAAATGTGCGCTCTTTTTTGTCACGAATAGGCAGTCTTAGCGGTTTGCTGTACTGGTTATTATAAAACTATTCTGAGCTATAATGTTTCTCACTGTTTTGCCGTGCAGGTTTGTCAAGGCAGAAACCGCTTTATTGGTCGACGTTTCGGCAAATCGTCGTCTTCAGGACCTGAAGGCAGTTCGGAGCTTCTGATCTGTGGCTTACCAGACCAAGCGCCCAAACGCGCTAGCCCAATTGCAACAGCTCCCAGAAGCTTGAACACTAAAAGATCTCAACGAGAAACCAACCTTCTGCGGTTCCACCAACACTCGTCCCACTCCATTTCGTGAACAAACAGGGACCAATGAGATACACCATTGACGGTCGTTGGATAAGAGCTGCTCGGTGTTCTCAAAGC